ATTACGCTGGTGGCCCCAGCTCACAGCCGGCCCAGGGGCCAAGCACGATGCCAGGGGGCAGCCCAGGCGCCACGGGCTGAGCTCGTCACAGGGATGAAACCACCCGAGCGCCCGCTGTGCTGCTGGAGCACCCTGCCCCGGCACCCAGCAGCGTCCCCGCTGCATTCCCAGACCGGCGCGTCCCCAGGGTGGCTCCAGCCCGCGCAGGCCGCTGTTATTCTGACTGGCCGCACAGCTGTTTCCTTCTTGCATTATTTAAGGCTCCCCCACCCATCCCAAACTGCTCAGGGGAAGAGCTGTAGCCATGCCTGCAGGAGAAAGGGATAGCTGGGGGCTTATCCAGGAAGGCTGGAATTTAGGGCAAGCAAGAAGTGGCATGGGACACCTCAGGGTCAGGCTGCCCAGCGCCGCGTGCTGAGCGTGCTGAGCTGTGCCGCTCTGGAGCTGCATCCCGGGCCACCCCACTGCTCCCGCTTTCCCATCCCGGGGGATAAGCACCCGCTGGCACCATCTCCCTCCCTTTGGGTGCTCTCCCATTTCTCCTGCCTTGAGAGCTGTGCTAGAAGCGGGATTGGACCGGCCGGTGAAGGCACTGATCCTGACCGGAGAGCAGAAGGTGCTGAAGTGACACCAGAATTTTTATTTCCTCCCGCAGCATCACTCGAGGCTCGGGGCACAAGTACCCAAGCACCTGGAGCTGACCCCACTGCTGCCACCCAGGCAGATGGCCCCAGGAGGGGACAGTGCCGAGGAGAGCTGCACCCATGTCCCAGCTTTTGGGTCTGTGCAATCTTGTGGGCGCTGGCCCACTGAAAGGACGTGGCATTGCTGGACCTGAGGTGGCTACAGGTTTTCTCCCTCTTGCCCTTTCTTTTTGGCAGCAACGATCCCCACACGGAGCTCAGGGGCCTCCAAGGGACACGGGAGCCTCCTGGCTGGGTGGCTGTGGGTGACGGGGCCCTGCCGGTGACGGCGCTGTCCCTCCCTCCGCAGACGTGCTCCCACGTGGGCTGACTCTGGGACTGGAGCCTTTTGGTCTCTTCCTTCCTATTTCTGCCCGTCAGTTGGTGCACCAGGACCCTCCCAGTGCCAGGCACGTGCCAACAGACGGAGAAGGGATAAAATGCGCAAACTGTGCTCCCTGCAGCTGGTAGCAGGGCTTGGAGGGCACAGGTG